AAATGAAATAAATACAGCTTTAAGAGCAAAAGTTCCTGATACCTGCTAACGATATTTAAAGCACTTTAATTGGTTGCTGTTCCTCCATTAGCATCCCCCTTGTGGCTGTCAAAAGTGGTTTTGTTTTTGTTCTGGTTTTTTGGGGTTTTTTCTGGCCTAGCTGCAAACTGTCACTGTCACTTTGTAGCCACAATGACCAAAGTGAAAGCTATAATAAAAAACAGAAGACGCTCTACTCACAGCCTCCTGACTAACCAGGGGCCTAGCAGGTTTAACAAACTCAGATTCAAATCCGCAACTCTAAATTGATCTAGCTAAGGTCGGGATTTCAGAGTTTTCGGTTTCACAATAGCCGCTATGAATTAGTTCAATCAATTCTATGTAGGTGCACTCAGAGTTGAGCACGTGCTTAACAAGTATGAAAAGCCATTATACTTTCCGTACCCACTGTATATTGGCATAAATGGCAGCGCCTACAAGCAGTGGCCCACTACTGCACTTTATAAATGGAAATGTTAATTTCACTGCTAAGTTGCTTATTCACTGTTGAAAAGCTGTATGTATCGAAAAATTTGTTTCGTATGCACCCTGTGTATACGGACATATTGCATTGAACAATCAGTCAAAGCCTCTTTCACAACATTCTGGGTGACAAAATATTCCCTAAAAGTTGGAATATATTCTCTTTTCTGATTTCCTTTGTCAGTAATCGTCAATTGTTAAGCTCTAATAATAAATCAAGGTAATAAATCAAGATATTTCAATGATTAACCATTTTCTCTTAATCTGGCTTGCATATTGATATCCATTAAAATATTTTGAGTTTTGAAAGAAAGCTGAATTAGATACCAACAACAAGGAAATATTAGGGGTAAATATTCATGTTAGCTTTTTTTTGTGCAGCTTTCATGACATTCTTTGAAAGCTGGGTTAGTTGGTTTAAATAACTGTGGTAAAATGTCTAAGATTAATTATACAAATCACCCATTTATTTTTAAATCAATCATAATAGGGTAATAAGAATATTACTGAAATGTTTACTCATTTCAGAATCTACCTTACTAAATTAACATATAGGTTACTGACACACCGACTGATGTTTTAAAGCCTTTACTTCTGGTTGTTAGGAGGGTTTTCTGCTTACAGCTAACGAAAACACAACAGATTAGAATACTGCATCCATCCATCAACTGCCACTTTTCTATTAGGGTTATGGGGGTTGATGCTTATCTCTAGCAGTCTGTGGGCAAAGGTCAGAGTAAACACTGGGCTGGTAATTTGTTCAGGACAGGGCAAAACCCAGAGACACACAAGCACCCACGTTTACTTTTAAGGGCAATATGGAATCCCCAACTAACCTAATGGTCCTGTTTTTGGACTGCAGGAGGAGGCAGGAGTACGTGAAGCAAATCCACACATGCACAAGGAGGACATGCAAACCCCAGGCCGGGAATCATACCTGGGACCTTCTTGTCATCAGGCAACAGTGCTATGAACTGCTCCAACATACAGGCCTATATGAAGCCATACCAGTATAATGGTATTGTAACAGAGGCAAAAATCATCTGTTCTCTTGACTAGAGTTCTGTTTCCTTTTTATTTATTATTTTTTTCGTTTTTGCATAAAATGCTAAATCCATTTAAGTAGAGAGCAAATACTTAAGTGTAAGACGACACTGACTGTAAATGTTAATGTAAACCAGTTTCTCGTCAACAACACATTTTGTCATGCTTCTTTGACACTTTCTCCCTCTATCAAAAGCGGAAAACTTTAAAGTACGCCTTTGCTGACTACCTTGCCAAGAAGCTTACAGCCATGCTCTCCCTACTCTGTCTTCTATAAGAATGTAGCCCTTCTAAGCTAAAGCTGCTCCAAAATTCATATGAACACTGAATGGTTGCTGTTTAACTCCAGAAATTAATCAACTAACTCCACTTAAATATCCATGTTTTAGGATTGGCTTATGTGTGCAATAGATGACTTTTGAAAATAAATCCTGATCTAAGTCCTGAATAATCATCAGATTTACTCTTTTTGTAAAACCCATACAATTGCATCAAGCCTTTAGAAAAAAAAAAAGGTAAGCATAAAGCAGTAAAAAAAAAAAAAAACAGACAAGTGATGAGATATGAAAGAAAGAAAACTAAATTTTTTTGGCTTTAGGTTTAGCTGACCGCACCCTCTCTGAAGCCAGTTGCTTCACAAGAGGCTCTTCATTAAGATGAAGGCACATTAAGCGGTTCAGCTGAACTTTGACCCACCTCTACCCCATCCCCTCCCTCTCTTGTAGTCCATCTTGCTACACCACCAGTGACAGGGTCCTGGAGGGAGACTACTCTAATGCTCTTCCTAAGTTATTCATCCAAGCTAATGTCAACTTACAGCATTGTGTCTTCTGCCGGGGTCTGAGCACCAAAGAACTTTTTTCATTCATGTCAGTAAAATCTTCCTAATCACTTCTTTTCTTTGTGTGAGTCTCTCAAGTTTCAAATAACTTTGTGGGTATATTCAGGTTTTAAAAAATAAGCAGTTCTTTGGATAAATGGATATTTTGTGTAATCTTTTTTGCAATTATCTTTAATTAGTGGTTTTGGTATTCGAGTCCCTAAATTTAAATATCATATTAGGTCTTCTATGATTCTCTGACTTTTTAATTTTTGCCTTTAGTATCTCTTCATTTCAATCAAGACAATTGTGTTATCTTGGTCCTTTGAATGAAAGTTATATACCTTCTAAAAAAACTTCGGTCCTTGTTTGCAGCTTTTTTTGTTTTATTTTCCTCCTAATTTTTATCTTGCATCTAACCCTTTTTGTTGTCCTTATGTTTAAAGTGCTCTCCAAGTAAAGGTTGAATGATTGATTGAAACTGTGGTTGACATAGAAATGTTGCTCAGTAATAGTGTGCATTTAGGTTTTGAATTCTATTAAAACTCATTGAGAATAGTTTGAGGTGCTTGCATATTTTTTTTTTTGTATTTCTATGATCTTAATTCTGTGTCCTTTCTTCTTTATATCTTAGGCAATTCTTGATTGCTTATTTCACGTCATGCCTCCTCGTACATCTATTCATTGCTGCGTTCCACATCCCAGTCAGTTCTGGCAGATAGTATTCCCAACTTAAAGCCACGACCATGCATCACTCGTTTCATTGACAGGACCTCCATTACTCTCTATTTTTGTGCCTTTTCCCATCTCCTCCACAATCTAATGGCTTCCGCAGTTTGCCTATAATGCATCAACCAATAAGGCAGCCAGTGTGCAGCGACACACTACCTCCATCCGTAATGGAACAGCCTGATTTCTCATATGGTCCATTTTCAAACTAAGCTGTGCCATGAAAGTTTTTCAACCAAAAAAACACATTAATAGAAAGACGAATTTCTTTGCTGTTGTAAATGCACACGACAAAGTGCAAAACAGAGTTTTATAAAAGAGTTCCACAGTTCATTTATAGCCTTAAGAAAAGACAAAAGTGTCACCTTATTTGGATGGGATTAAACTGATTTCAGATAATAAAGTAAGAAATCTTAGTGTTATTTTTGATCAGGACCTGTCATTTAAATCTCATAAATTCTAGAAACATCTCAAAGATGTTTCTAGAATTTACTTCTTTCATCTGCGGAATATTGCAAAAATTTGAAATATCTTGTCCAGGGGGGATGCTGAGAAACTAGTCAATGCATTTGTTACTTCAAGGCTGGACTATTGTAATTCTTAACTGTCAGGAAGTCCACAAACTGTAATTAAAAGACTTCAGCTGATCCAAAATGCTGCAGCCAGAGTTCTGAAGAAGAATAGAGATCATAGCTCTCCTATACTAGCTTCTCTTTATTGGCTTCCTGTCAAATCAAGATTAGAATTTAAAATCATCCTTCTCACATATAGAGCCTTAAAATGGCTAAGCTCTATCTTATATCAGATATCTGATTGTTCCTTATGTCCTTAACAGAGCACCTCACCCTCAATCTGCAGGTGTACTAGTGGTTCCTAGAATTTCTAAAAGTAAAATGGGAGGCAGATTGGAGAAACTAATATCAGGCTCATCTCCTGTGGAACCCACTACCAGTTTTAGTCCCTGAGGCAGACAACCTGTCTATTTTTAAGGGTAGGCCTCAAACTCTCCTTTTTGATAAATAGTTAGAGTGGCTCAGGTTATCCTGAGCTATCTCTATAGTTATGCTGCTATAGGCTTAGACTGCTGGAGGACATAGGGACCCCTTTTGCATCACTCTGCCTCATTCTATCTTTATTCTCCCACTCTGCAGAATCTGTTAGTTCAATCTCTAACGTTCTGCTCTCTCTGCTTTTTCTCATAGTAGTTTTGCCTCGTCTGTTCCTGTTTGGTGACATCATCCTTGAGAGAAATATCAGCTGTGCTGCTGCCATCAACACCTTTGTTTATAGATGTTGGAGATCGGCCTGTTTTTCCAGCGTGGTCCTTTTTCTCTGACTATGACTGGCTGGATCTGCTCTCATCATCCTCTGACATGTGAGTTGGCTCAAAGCTTGTCTGCCTGGCTGTGTGTTTCCTGGAAGGGGCCGCCTTTTACAACTGCTTTTTGTAACTCTGCTTCTGTCTCCTTGAACCCCAGTCAAGGGAGTTTTTCCTCTCCACTGTCACAACAAGCATGCTTAGTGTGAGGGATTGCATTCGAGTCAATGAGTCGATGAAATGAACTGGTTTTCCTTTGATAGAAAACTTTGAATCTATTTGAATGTATGATCTGGTGAACTGTAAAGTGCCTTTAGATGACGTGTTGTGAATTGGCTCTATAGAAATAAACTGAATTGAATTGAATTACAGGTGTATAGGTTATACCGTTGCGTAATTTTTAAGTTACCAATGTGAATAAACTATCAACAGAGCATTTTTCAGCCCAACAACAAATAACCTCTGTGACTTGTCTTTGCATGGAGAAAAAGCCATTTGTAGAAAATGAAACACTGACATGAACTGATAATAAAATGTAAGATGGATTTATAATGTCAGCTCACTTACTTGCAGAGGGTGTTTCAGCATGAACGGGAGGTGTGGAAGGGATGAAAGAGGGAAAGAAGAAGGATCGCAGAGATTGTTCGTTGTGGAGCGGTGACCGTTGCGTGGGAAGATTCTCACAGCTCCCCACACTGCTGTGAATCTTAAGGTTCAAGGGCTTGGTCTTCTTCTTGGCTCTGAGGGAAAGCAGGAAAGTAAAATACAAATAATGAGTTGGAGAGATGAGAGGGAGGATTTACATAGAAGAATAAATTGATCAAACACATAGTAGTCGGAACCACTTTTTCCTGCAGGAAATATACTAAAACCATCCATTTGGTATCATGCTGCATCATCAACGACATAAACTGCAAACACTCTCTGCTCATGTTAGAAAACCTCTACTGGTCTAAACTGAATGGAGAAAAAAATCAAAACATAGATCAAGGCCCAGATAGGAAAGGACACAAAGATAATGAAATTAAACACATCATTTATAATTCATCACAACCATTAAACAAAACTGATCAATACAGAATTGTTTCCTGTTAAAGCTCCTTTGTTTTGACACAGAAAAATAAAACCTATTACAGCACATGCTAATTTATTATAGACAAAAAGCTGCATTTATTTTATTATTTTAATACAATTGAAATTTGCAATTTACAGCTCAAAAACTGCAAAACAATTATCTACCCTACTTTTCCTGCAGTTTAAGTTCCTCAGAATAGGAGCCCAGAGAACGTGTACTGTTACTGGAGTTCTCCCGCTTTAAAAAAGAGTAATTGTTTAAAGCTGGCTAAAAGAAAATTAACATACTTCCCTTTTTCTAATCAGAAAGAAAACATGGCTTTTGGAAAATATTTCGGATTGCAGAAATCATGGTGGTCTTAGTATAGCTAGGGGGGTCCCACCCATCAATCTTTGTTAGTTAATGATCTTTAAAAATACAGTGATAGTTTGCGAGCTATAATCAGCATACAGTAAATACCAGGCAGCTGAAATTAGGCTAGCTACTGGAGTAGACAGCCTGGCAAATCAGGCAACTAACAGCTTGTAAGGTTTATTTTACTCTCAAAAAAAAAAAAAAAAAAAAATTAAGAATTAAAATGTTCAGTTCAAAAAGCAAAAAAAAAACAAAATAATTTGGGAATGTATCTAGTGGCAAAATATAATATGATAACTAATATCAGAAACATCTAAAAACAATTGTTCCATTTGTTTAACAATTTGTGTGAACAGTTTATAACAAGGAAGCTGTTTTGTACTCAAGGTTTTAATTTCAATAAAGAGTGATGAGGATGGTTCAATTAGCTCTGGACAGTTTTGGTGTTTCTTATTAGCAAATAGCTGAATTTCATCATGAGCCTTCTTTTAGACCTGAGCTGATAGATTACTGTCAAAACTGCTTTTTTAATTTAAAACATTCTGTTGAAATTATAAGTGAACAGTAACTTAGTGGTAACACTTCACATTGTCAATTTTCATGCTATTGGGAGATGTTGTCATGTCAGAGATGAGTTTAATGAATCTTGTAGCATAATTGTTTATGTCATGTTGTCATAAAAATGATTCAAATAAAAACAGAGACCATGCAGATAATGTGTGATTATGAATTATGTTTGAGCCAAAGTTAGGAAAGTTAGAATAAAGCATTTGATGTGATTTTCTGGGCAGACTATACAAGTGCCTAATTTTGTTTTTTATTACATTTTAGCTTCAAAATAATAGAATCATAGAATACTGCCTCAGCAAATGAAGACTCCACCTATCACAAAACTGGAAAAGCAAATTTAAGGCCTAACTTTTCCGGGATTTATAATACATTATCAATTATTCAACTGCAGCAAAAAACACGAGGTGACTTTGTGGGGATAATTGGTAGTGAAGACTTTACCCTTCAGTGTCCTTCATTAGAGAAATAATCTGCATGCTGTTAATTAGCTCTCAGTGAATTATAAGTGCAGATTCCCAGTCACATGGACCTTTTTATCCAGTGATGTCATTGTATCGCTGCTTTCTTTTTTCCTTAGTTGAGGCTACTTACTCAGCCACAGCTTACCCAACACTTTCTCCGACAAGTGACAAAAAAGTATAATTATGTTTACCACTTGATGATTTAAATTTTATTCCATACTTATATACCAGCTCTATTAGGCCAGACTGTACAAAGAAACAAAAAAGCCCACTCTCCCAGTCCACTGAAATCTAGTCCAAGCATTTGTTACTTTTTATGGTTGACCTAAAACTATCAGTAAAAATAACTAAACAAGGTTGGAGGCCTTTAGGAGACCCAAAGCAGTGCAGCAGGAATCCTGCAAAAAAGATAAAATAAAGATAATCTTCCTCTATTTTTAGCTTCCCACCATCGCTCCATTGTCAAATCTAGAGAAACTACCCCTACTCCTTCTCACGTGTAAACCTATTTATAATCAAGCCCCAGCATCAAAATTCTGTTTGGCATCAGGAAGAAATACTGACGTCTTTCCTGCATTCAACTTAATTCACCAACTATGCTCTAATTTTACATTATTTACTTGTTTTACAGCTTTAAACTTCATGTTCTCACATTATGTTTTCTTCTTTGTAGTACCTCCAGGCTATTAAGCTACTACTTCCAACATCTTAACGTTCTCTTTCTATTCATGATAAACTTGGCCTTGTATGTTTACTGTTCAACCCAGCCTCTCTCTTAACATAGCCATTGGCTGAGCTTTTGCTATTTCATCCAAAGGATTTTAAACTTTGACATATGCTCAGTTGTGTTCCTTTTCTATGATGAAATACAGGAGCTGCTACTGCCATTAACTTTTTGCTTTTGTTTAACCTTTAAAGTACTATTTAACCAGAGCTTCAGTTTTTGTTTTCTTTTCTTTTCTTTTTTTGAGTGTGCTCTGTCTTCTAAAACCCACATGGCGGTTCAGGTTCTGCAGGAATCTTCTTCCTGTTTAAGAGGCGGTTTCCATTCTGTTAACAGCTCAAATGAGTAATGCGGCAAAGTCAATGACACAATGCTGCCAGTCAGTTACTGGAAGCAATCTGTTTTCCTTAGATAAAAAGATTTTTGGAACTATTTGTAAAATAAATAGAACCTTACAGGGTAAATGTGTTTACATTACTTGGAATATCTTTGTATGATTAGACAGGATTTACTTCTTTTGTGAAGTGCTTCATGATGTGATCCACCCTGAAATAAATAAACTGAAGTAGAATGCCTGTAATTGGCCATAGTTTTCTCGATATATAACACCTTGAAGGTTATGAGATTATTTACAAGATATGCACTACAGAAAAACACTAGTGCAATAGCACTGCATCTAAAGTGAAAAGATATCTACATAGAAAAACGCCTGCAAAGCCTAAACAAGACTTCTAAACAAGAAGTCCAAAGGCAGACAAAAAATATTTTATTGTTTAGAAGACTGGAGAATCCTCCTTAAAGGAGTAAAGAAAAGGGAATCAGTGAAAAGTTTTGCTTTTTGAAATTTTTGAAAGACTTTTAAAGTGTAGAAAAAGAAGGCTGTGAGTTCTGATTTATGATGCAAAGTTAAAGTCATTAAGTATTAAATCTCAAAGGATTTTTTTCTTACATGTCAGTCATTCTACCCCTTCACTGAGTCATGCAATTAGACCTGTACACCAGCCCACCACTTCAGTCCCATCTCCTGCAATAAGGAAGCAGCCCGCAGGTTATCACTTCTTCGTCACAGAGCTTTTGTCAGCTATTCCGATTAGCTCACTTTATGCAATTTGAATCTAAATCAAGCTATTCATTTCCCAGCATGCACGCCTTTATCCTCTCTTCGAATGATTTGTGGATGTGCAGTAATGGGGGAATGTGAAAAAGAATGTGGGGAGAAGGCAGAGGATTCCCACTTTTGGTTTTGAAAACGTCTGTCTCTGTAGGCAGGCGGAGAAAAGGGGTCGGGTATGGGGGACTTTCAGCTTTGGAGTCGTTAAAGCTTTTATTCAGGTTCAGCAAATGGAAAGTTAAGGGATAGACAAACTCAAAGAATAAATGAAAGGCAGAAGATGGGAAAGGTGGGTGAATTCCCAAGAGTCGAGAGAAATCAGCAAAGGTGTGAACAGTTCACTTGTCTTTTGATGTAGTTTAGGGCTGTATACAATGATGCGTCACCCACAAACAGACGTTGCTGATGTTTTTAAGGCTTCTGTTGTGGCAAATGGGAGTTACAAAGCCTATTTTTGGCTACGGTGTTACAGCATGTCAAGACTCATATCCCACCCAACTTTAAACAACACCAGTATACTTTCAAGTCAACAGACAATCAATTTATGCTGCTCTCAGGCACATTAAAAATCCCAAAGCATGCATCTGGATGATGAAAAAATTGCAGAAACTAAAAACATCACAGCCCTTCAGATTGGCCCAATTACATTGTCCACCATCATGTTCAATACTGGGGTCCCATAGGGCTATATCCTGAGCCCACAATTGTACATGCTGTCAACCTCAGGACTACTAGTTGCCCAGACACCCGCATCAAATTTGCAGACATTGTGGGGACTGATTCATGATGATTAGAAGGCATCATACAGGGTTAAAGTCCAATGTGGCTAGTTTTGCAACATTAGTACAACTTCAATCTGTCTGTCATACAAAAAGAAATGTAATCCCAATCTGATCTACGTTGACAGAAGATAGAGAAGCAGCAGAAGAAATGTTGATGTCAAAACAGATGTAAGATAGTCGGTTTATTTGACTTTTGGTTTTGAATTGCAACAAACAAACGATAATGATTTTTTTTCAATCTGTATTAAAAGATTTTTAGCTGATTTCAAAACGAAATAACATTTTACTCTGATTAATTTTTTTTTACTTTTTCCACAGAGCAATTCAATTTAATATATTTATGTAGCTGCAATTCAAAACACATCTTCTCAAGGTACTTTACAAAGACAATTCAACCACAAGGAAAACAATCTGATTGCTTCAACTTTGCTTCATCTAATTGACTCGAAAGCGATCCCTCACATCAAGCATGCTTGTAGCAACAATGGAGAGGAAAAATTCCCTTTTAACGGGAACAACCTTCCTGCAGAACCCGGCTCAGTGTCAGCGGCCATCTGCCTAGGCCAACTGAGGTTCAAGGGACAGAAGTGTACTAAGAAAAAGAAAGGGAGACTGTCAATCTGCTCCACAGGAGGCCCCGTACAGGAAACACACAGCCAGGCA